TTCGATTCCCTTCTAGGTCGTACTGTTCCTGTGTCATATTAAGGCTTAGTGTGGCGTTATCTCGCGTTGAGTTTGCGTCGTTCATTGTCCTTTATCTATTTGCTTTAGTGGTTTTTATAGTAATTCCCTTAAGTCTGTTATTTAAAACACTAACATCTTTTCAATCATTTCGGAATTTATATTTGATACGTCATTTTAGATTTCCAAAACGACGTACGTTAATTTGGAATTTGAAACGACGTATAACACCATCATCAAACTCCCAAAATCTGCCCTGCATTCGCAATTTCGCTTTTCTTCTCATAATCACGGTATGTTACGTTTTCCACGAGACGCAGAGGCAGTCTAATAAGATAAGCAAAACTTTAGCATAGTCAATAGGAAACTAATGATGCACAATGAATACTACCTTTCCTCATCAATACCCTTATAATTCCCATAGATCCACCAATTTTTTTCTTTATCGCTAGCTTTGTTGATAATGTTGGCGTCTTCTAAGTTGGCTTCGATAGTTTTGATACATTCCATGAAGACCGCCTCATCCGCAGAACTTGGATGTGGACTTGCGGTTCGAGATAAAGAATTTGGGGTTGAAGTTGAAGAAGGAACAGAAAGTTCCTCGTCCCTTATGTGCTACGCGCACTTGCATGGGAAGAATTGGATGTTGCAAACATCTTTTCTAAAGTTGGTGGTTATACAATCCAGAAATATCGATATGAAAAATGCAAGCCACACGAAAAATGATTGAACGTTACATTTTAGTTTCACAATCATAAGGTGGGCGCATATAGTCTATCCAATCAAATTTAAGACAACTTTTTACCAAATCACATAAATGAAATTCGCCAACGGCCGTCAAGAAAAAATCGAGTCAGCGGTTATAATATTCGACCAAGGATCTTGGTTCCTTTAGTGAAATGAGAAAATAATAATGCTAGTCATAACAGGTTACTAGGAGAGTGAAAGTTATATACTATATGAAACTTGAGATATTAATAATTATATATGAGAGAAGATGAAATATAAGAGTTAAAAGATGTTTAGTTTATTATATTATTTATTCTCAAGTTTCAACATGTTAAGTTCAGTTATTATTTGTATTTATATATTTTTCACAATACAAATATAATTATTTGAAAACAAGAAAAAATGTAAAGATAAATATTTTAACTAAAAATAAAATTCTTATTAAATATAAAAAGAAGAAAAATAAAGTAAAATAAGTAAATAAATATATATAGTTATAAACATTTTATATAGTATTATCAGAAATAGTGCTCCAATCGGATCGGATTGGGGTCAAACCCGACCCGAAATATTTCGGATCAGCCTAAAAAAACGTTTATTTCTCGTTCAATATTAAATGGGATTAAACAAAAATTTGTGGGTATATACACAATTATATTGCGAACAACTCTACTTAGACACAAAATACAAGTGTCTTAGTAAAAAATAACGAAAAACTATTTTACGATTTTCGGATCAAACCCAATTCGAATCCGACCCGACCCGAAATTATCGATTCGGGTTGATCTCAAACCCGATCCGAACAGAGCCTTAATCAGAAACTTCTAATTTATTAATTTATAAAACAAGTACTAGATCTTTTTTAATAATTGTACTATAATAAATTCTAATTAATCATATTGTAATATTTTTGATAATGGTTAAAAGTTTGTAATTAATTAAAATATAAATATAGAAATAAATAAACAAATATATATATATATAGAAAAATAAATAAAAAAAATAAAATAGTAATATAAAAATAATTAAAAAGATATTTTAATTAACAAATTATTTTTATAATCTTTATGATTTACAATTTATTATAAATTATAAAATTAATAATTTTTATAATAATACTGTTGTATAATGACCTTTCGTTATAACATTTAATATTATTGGATTATAAATATCTCATATTTTATTGGATAAA